TCCCGGGGTCGCGAGGGCTGGGGCTGCCGCGGAGTGCAGGTTTGGCTGGGCAGGGGGATGCTGCGTGCTCTGGGGGCTCCTGGGCTGAGCAGGAATTGAAGGGGGGCAGTGACCAGTGCAGACCCCGCATCAGCCTCAATGGCCCCAGCCCGGCTGAGTCTCAGGCTGGTTGTGACCTTCTATTTATTTATTTATTTATTTTAATTCAAATTGTTTAAACGAAACTTCTAGATCACTTGCAGAAAGGTTTATTGTTCTCAGTACAGTTGTCACTAGCAACACGTTTTGGTATGACTAATAGGTCTTTTTTGGGTGCTGTATATAGAAAAGGAAGTAGAGAATGGTTAACACGGGTGAGGAGCAACGTGCCCGGCCTGTGCTCCCTGAGCTGCCACAGGTCACGCTCAGTCAGTAAAATCGCTGCTTTCACAGCAATGGGCACCTCCCGAGCCTTCCTTTGGCTTCAGCCCCGTGTATGAGCTCTGCTTCCCAGCCGGTGCGCAGGGCGCGTGGCCTGGCCGGGGGCTGTGCTCGGGCTGTTGCTGAAGCAGGAGGGAGATTCGGTTGCACAAGTCACAGCTGTGGAGAGCTGGGAGGAAACCTGACCCGCTGCAAACAGCTAAATTAGTTGCACACACTGGATTAAATAAGTTAGATGCACACAGTATGGTCGATGCTCAATATTGATTTAACTTCCACTGCTGTCTTAAGAGAACACCTGGGTTTCTTTACCACCTCTGCCTGGTGCAGGAGGAAGGTGAATTGCTGCTTTCTTTCCTTTTTCTGCTGGCTGCTGTGGGAAGCAGGACCTGCATCCTGCCACCTGGAAACTGTGTGCAGAGAGACATTGTCACTGGGGACTGCTCCTCATGGGCACAGGCTCTCCCAGGGCTGCAGTGTCTTCCCAAATGGGGCGTCCCCTCCAGGTGCCAAAGACTGTTTTGTTAGTACAAGTGTTTATTTCTTCTCCAGACCGCAGTGTTTGGTGGAGTCCACAGCGAGTGGGAGGTGCTGGAGCTCCTCAGAAGGGCTCTGTCCCGTTCCAGCTGATGGTCGCTCCTGCCCACTTGGTCCTGATCGCCATCTCCACAGACCGACGCCTCTTCCCTGTGCTGCTTAGGTCTTCACTGTGTTCCTTTTCCCAGTGATGTGAATGAGTGTCTGAAAGGCAAACACCATAGAAAAAAAACCCCAAAGTCTGGACCCCCCCGCGCCCCCCAGAACAGCTTTAGAAAGGCTGAAAGCAGGAGGAGAGGGATGGGGGCAGGTGAGCTGCCCCTGCCCCAGGGGGGAGCTGGGCCAGCCCCGCCGCGGCCTCCCGGGGGCACTGGGACTGTCCCCACCTCAGGAAATCCCGGCACTGTAAATACAGCTCTCAGCTCCTGGCAGGGTATGTTTGCATGTTGTTTTTCTCAACAGGTCTCAGTCCTTTCAGAATTAGGTTTTTATTTGTGGAAGGAACAGATCTGCTGTGAGGAAAGGCTGAGAGAGTTTGGGTTGTTCAGGCTGGGGAAGAGAAGGCTCCAGGGAGACCTTAGAGCACCTTCCAGTGCCTGAAGGGGCTCCAGGAAAGCTGGGGAGGGGCTTGGGACAAGGGCAGGGAGGGATGGGATGAGTGGTGATGGTTTTAAACTGAAAGAAGGGAGATCAATGCTAGATGCAAGGAAGAAATCTTTTACTTTGAAGGTGGTGAGACGCTGGCCCAGGTTTCTGAGAGAGATGGTAGATGCCCCATCCCTGGAAATATTCCAGGTCAGGTGGGACAGGATCTGAGCGACCTGATCTGGTTCAAGATTTTCTGGGCCATGGCAGAGGGTTGGACTAGATGGTCTTTAAAAGCCCCTTCCAACTTGAACTCTTCTGTCAGTTTATGTGTCTTTTTACAGTGTTGTTTGGGGCATGCTCCTCCACATCCCATGTAAAGATGAATACAGTGTGTATGTTTATATATATGTACACACACACATATACAGTGGATGTGGCAGTGCTGGGTTGACAGGTGGATGATCCAACCAAAAGTGCTCAGGGGTTCTCCGTCTATCAGCACACCCTGTCCCTGTGCCGGTGTCCCCGCCCGCCCTGCGCAGGTGTGACACGGTCCCTCCCACCTGTCGGGGCTCGGGCACGCACCTACAGTCAGCCGGGCTGTTCCGCTCTGCTCCCGCTGCCCGCTGTACAGGTACAGCTGGAAGAGTCTCTCCCGTTTCCAGTCGGAGAGGAGCTGCCGGTCGGTGCTGAAGA